GTGTAGTATATGGTGTGTTTTACCCAGCAGCTAGCTGTTTAATAAAGTGATACACTACAAGTGTACATGAGCTTGGTACTGCACATTCATCTACATTTACATAAATATTTATGCAATAACAATTTCTTTAGTCGTCTAAAACGTGCATGCTAGTGACAACCTGCATCCTGAATAAGGGACCGAATAAATAGAAAAACTAAGCCCCAGGGCAACTGTGATGCTTTCCCAAGCTCAGTGAGTGTCTCGATAGACTTTGGAGTCTGTTGAGCAGTTGCACGTGAAAACAGAGCCAGCCAGCGGCCGCGATGTAGCTCAAGGTGGATTGAAAAAGCAGGGTGTGTGGGTGTCGTTCGGATCGCTGCCGGACCCCGAGACAGAACGAGCGCTCCAGCTCCCCCGCCGGAGACTGACCGCCTCTGTCTCCGCGGCAGATGCCCTTCCGGGAGGCCCACAGCTGCTCGGGGAAAGCCGTGTTCCTGGCCGAGAGCAGGAACGTCCCGCTGAACCAGCTGACCGCGGAGGACCTGCAGACTGTGAGGTCAGTACAACTGCTGCTCAGCCTGAGCACACAGCACTTGCAGGCCTGATTACACTGACAGTTCATGCGTGTTTAAAACATACTGGTGCATGTACTATTTCTGAGAATCTCCCAAAGTAAGAATGTATTTGCTGCACACATTCAGCTATTCATAGGAGCTGCCCTAACCTATAGCAGTGCTGTAAGATACTTCATTTCAGGAAAGCTTCATCAGTCCCTACCTCTGCGTGGCTGCTTCAGATTTTTGTAATTAGTAGATTATAAATCCTTTACATAAAGCTTATCAATTAAAGTTTCTACAATGGAGTCATCTAGAAGGGACTGTATTATATTTTGTACAAGGGGATCGAAGTGTCCAGTTACTTTGGCAACCAGGCTGTTTCCTGTTGTCTTGCTGTTGTGTGGTACAATACCAAAGTACACAACAGTGGCCGCCTTTCTTCTCAGAGGTGGCTGGTTGCACAGCTGTAACTTTGCAGGAGGATAGTTTGATCGTGCCTATTCCGAGACAGGAAGCCCACACGGTCATCCCGGTCCCCAGTGCGTGACTTACAGCTGTCTCTTGCTGCCCTCGCAGTCCCTTATTCAGCAGCGACGTGTCTGCGGTGTGGGACTACACCAGCAGTGTGGAGCAGTACAGCGCCCCCGGTGGCACGGCCAGGAACAGCGTGACCGCACAGGTCGAGCACTTCAGGGCGTGGCTCAAGACACGCCGAGCATGATGGGAGCGCCCTCGGCTCCAGCGTCCCTGTCAGGTGCGTTCAAGAGCACCCTCCTCGCCTGGCAAAAGGAGCCCATGGGAGCAGCATCCTGTGCACTAGTTTTATTGCTGAAGGGAGGAAACCTTTTTACTTTGCCTGGAATTGTGTGTTGTAGTGAGCAAACGTGGTGTTAACTGCATCTTCAAGGGATCTCTACCTTTTTAAAAAAAATCTGTGAATTTGATGAATCAGCTGTGGTGAATACACTGTGTTTGACTGGTTCTTCGTTATTAAACACATTGACCACATCTTTTGGCTGGACAGCTCTACATCTTCATTCTCTCAACCTGCAAAGGCAAGTCTGAGCCTCCGGTCAGCCGTTGATGATGGATTAGTCGGTTTCCATCTTTGACCACATGGAGGCAGCAAAGTTCATCTCTCAGTGTTTGGGTGTTCTGGATACTCTGTGCATGTGGCAGTGATTGTGGTTAGTGTTGAGGTTTGACATTCAATAAAGGAACAAGTCATTTTTAAGCGTGAATGGTACTAATCTAATTGTCAAGGCTGCTGTGCAAAATATCCGTTCTTGTTCATAAAAAATCAGTCATGGAATCAGTTTCTTACATTATCTCCAACACACAGCTATTGAAATCAGGGGTTTGTATTAATGTTCAGATCTGTAGCAGGGAGAACTCCACCCCCCCCCCCCATGAATGTATGCAGGACATCATAGATTTGAACCATAATAAATATTTTATATACATAATAATAATACAGCCCAGAAAGTAATCACCATGCCTTAGGTTTTGAAACCTGAATGCAAATGCTTCAGTTGTAAACCTCAATCATTGTTTATTAATGATTTACTTTACTATTTTGCAGTCTCTAAACATGACTGTTGCTATCCTATTGTACACGATATAGAGCTGTTACAGTAGCATCGTACTCCATTGCCTTGTTAAAGACCTAGTAATTACCAACTTATTTGATTTCTTTGCATTTATTGATAAATTATTCACATCCCCATAGAATAGGGTATGGATCCCTAAATTGAAAATGTACTTAACCGGAACATGGACTCGGCAGAATACAGCTGTGTATTCAATGGCAGATAGTTTAGTCAACAGTGCCTGATACTGATTTTTACGGGCAGGATGCTTGTGCACAGGCTTGTGAAGAGCTTACCGTGTCCTCGGGTGTGGCAGTGAACACTAAAATCTCCAGCAGAGTCAACCACTCACATTTTATTCCAGGGAATTTTTCCAAGGAAAACACGGAATTCCAAGGAGGCGCACAACCAACATAAATAGGGGGGGAAAACACTATGTTGTAATATCAGGTGTAGAGCAGACTATTCCAGGATTCCAGGAGAGTGGAAATTTCAGTCCCAGTTAATTCCTTTTTAACTTTAACTTTAAATTTAAAGTAATTCCAGTGCTGGCAGGGTCTAGGATGGGCAGGGAGGAGAACTACAAGGCTGCCTACCTGGGTTTTTAAACCACCACTGCTTTCCCAAAGTCAGGGCTTCCCAAATCCCAGCCTACTGGGTAGCAGGGGAGACACTCCTACAGGAAGAGCCGGAGGCCAGGCGACGTCCAGACCACGGCGAGGGAGAGAGTCGCCAGGCTGAAGCTCAGGAGGCCGGCGCTCGACCGGAGAACCACACGGCCGTTCAGAGGCTGGGTGGGGCGGAATGTCATCTTCATCGGCTTCTCGGTCCGAAACAGCAGCTTCTGGGAAAACGCCGTGAGCTGGGGAGGGGGGGGGAGACCGGGACACGGGGTCACTGTTCCTTGGTGTTTCCAGTTAGAAAGCCAAGGGTGGTGAACAGTAAGTCTCGGAACTCTCAGGCGGCGACTGCACTTCGAGAAGGCTGTGCAAGTATCCTTTGGGCATTTCAAATTATTCCAAAAATGGAATAATAATAATTGCTCCAAACAGGGATAATTAGATAAGTATTTAGAGCCCTGTGTATCATGCCGGCGCTGATGAGCCCTAGCTAATGAGGGCTAAACAGTTGTTCATGGCAGCTAACCTGAACATCTTATACAGTATGAAAAAGAATTAGGTCTGTGTAGAGGGTTCTCTCTTAAGCATTGCAAAACAGAGCTATTTAATGCCCATTCCCATGCTCCACAGTGACATAATGCTCTTTGAAAGTCCCTTGTTAGATGCTTGGATAGAAAGTCGTACCTGCTCCCTGCTGATCCGAATGGGTGTCTCAAACACAGCCCAGACCACAGCTTCATCACAGTCTGGCACAGTCACCGATCCAGAATAGTAGTAATACTTGCGCAGGTCCTGGGGTTTGGGAAGAATGCTGACGAGCTGCAGGGCTGTGATGATCGTCCTGTTACCTGAATTAGGATTCCATGCAAATGCTTAGACTTAGCCTGGGATTTAAAAACGTGGGAGTGAGAGGAGAGCACTGCCTCAGCTTCACAAATCTACAGGTTAAAACAATTGGAACCTAGTTAGTAGTATGTCCGTAGCCTCCTCTCCCCAAAACAGCCTTTCAGACTAATCCTAAAGACTTACTTTTTGATTCTGGGATATTGTGTTGTGCAAAAACCCTGACTTCCTATAAATTATGCATCTGCAAGAATAATACAGATTATAATGCTGGGTACATGTATCTCACTATAAGGTGCGATTAAAGATTTCTTTCTAGAAATTATTATTGAAAATTAAGCTTTGATTGAGAAGGAGCTGTTAAAGGTTACTGTGAAATGGTGATACTTCTTTGTATTGTGACCATTTTATTTACAGTACCTTAGTTAAAGGCCACTTACATAAACTTGCATATGCTAAATAAATACACAGAGTCTAATAATTGATTACCTGCATGCTTGACTTCATCTAGGGCATCAATCAAGACCTTGTAATAAGGATTGTCCTGTGAAGATTCCTGCAGTGATAAAAGTGTTTCAGATATGCATATAACCGAACTTTCAGGTCAGACTGAGGTTATGCTTAGAGGCTCCCAAACAAAGTTGTCAATTTTAGCATAATTACCGATGGCACTGGAATGAAATCCTTGAGCACAGTCTGAGATCTTCATGTTATTTACGACCCTGTGTTGTTGATTGAGATTCGTGTTAGAGATGTGGTATCTTTTTTACGCTCATTGTCCTGTTCAGGGTGTCTGATGCTGGAAAATTGAGACACACCCTTATTTTAATATGCTTAGACTATGGTAAGACCTTAATAAGGTATATAGTACGATTTTAAACAAACCCCGGTTTGTCCAGAATTTTGTGGCTTGCATGCACACTAATACTGCTTAATCTTTGCACGTCACTCCCCTGCTGCATAAACTGCACTGGCTCCTGCTGGATTTTAAGGTCCCTGTTGATATTTACGGCTCTGAACAGTGTAGCCCCAGGTTACCTTAATTGCATACTGTGTCATTACAGTCCAACATGCACTCCTGAGCTGTGCTGACTCAGGTCCTCTCGTTATACAAATCCAGACTCAAAACCCTCTTCTTTAGAAAAGCCTTTACGTAACTGGTTCCATTCTTCACCCCTCTGCTTTTCTCAGTACCACCATCCACGGTCTCCTCTATATATTGTAATTGTGTTTTATCTTGTGTATTCTTTTTATTTATTGTTGTTGTCATTCTGTAAAGTGCTTTGAGAAGCCACCTTTAAAGGTGCTATATAAAATAAAGTTTATTATTATTATATTATTATACTAAAGCCTG